AACATGTCTCATATATGCACGTTTATGTACCCATATATATCCGCCAGTGATCTGGGTAGATGACATACGATCGTTAACAAGTGCGACCAACTTTGTAACTATCTATCAATAATGATAGTCGTGCAAAAAAAAAAGAGAAATAGCAAAGGTGCATTTATCGATCGATAATAACCTTGTGCTTGTTCTGACCTAGTCTTTAGCCGTTTATAAATGGGCTTGGCTTTTGATATCCGATAATACTTAAATATATGAATTATAATCTTATAACAGTTACCTAATTACTTAAGGGGAAATCACTCTAAATTCTCTTTTTATATGTATTTTAATTTTAAAATATTTGCACTTGGCAAATTCGGTCGGCAGATTCTCCTTTAGCACCCCTTAATGATCGAAATTTGCATTTGCACAATTTAATGAAAGCATTTGCATTCAAAAAACAAGTAATGTTTTCTCGTCAATCAAAGCTTTCTGAATGCAATACAAAATTAATTAGAGAATAATTTGAGTTGATTGACTGACAATTACAATTTTAAAATACCGCACGATCGAGAAATAATATTTGAATTTCTTTTGACAATCGCGCGTGCTAAGTGGGGGCCATAAAATCGTGGCATATATTCTCGCGTTGAACGCGGACAGAAATTAACATGCAACACGACAGCAGCCGCTGACAGAAGTCGCGATGGTGTGGTATATGGTGTCCCAGGATGGGGCAGGAAGGTGGCCGGAGTAGGATCTGCAACGGAGTACGTGGAGTGTCAAGCTGCCAGCGAGAATTCCCGACAAGATTGAACAACAGCAGCAGTGCTCATATTTAAAATGGCCAACGATGTTGACCGCCACAATGGGTTCTGCTGGGATGGGATGGCAATTGGCCATCGATGTCAGACCGCCAGATATAAAGTATTTCGTGCTTTGTGGCTCCCCAGCCATTCTACACGGTAATAAATATAATTTATACACTTCTGTAAAATATTATAATAAGATAAGTCAAAAATAGGTTTTTAAATGAAGAAAACATTTTTCGATTTCTATTTCCCAAGTTGAATATATCCTTAATTATTGTTAAAATAGATCAATAAATATTAAATTAACTAGTTTTTATACAAAAATAGTTATTGTTCATTAAAAATCGGTAGTATAATCCTGTATTATTAAATTATTATTATTTAAAATGTTCAAAAATAAAGAATTTTAAAATAAAATTATTATAAAATTATTATGTATTTTTATGGGTTAATTTTCTGCCAGTGCAGGGGCTCCCAGAAGGCCTGTCAAATGCATCGGATTCACGGCGGTCCCCAAGTCCCAGTCGAAGTCCCGGTCCCAGACGTTGCGTGAGGACCGTGGCTGCAACCTCAACACCTTCAAAAGGGGCATCATCATTACCATCATCGTCGATAAAATGCATTTGCAAGCGCATTGCATACAAACTGTTTGCTAAATTTATTTATATGTAATGTTCTCGCTCATGCATATTTAATGTCCACGCATTTTCTTCTTGCTCCCGGAGTAAAAAAAAACCCCAAAGAGTGAAAGAAAAAATGCAGTTGCCGTTGGCTTTGCGACCTCAACCCGGGGATCCCCAGCTCCCATCTCCTTGGGTTCGGCAAACAAGTAGCTGTTGTTGCTCCTCTGGTATCTGCATTCGAGCTTCTGGTTTGTTTGCTGGCCAGAACGGTTAGCTGTTTTCGCCTTGTTCCTCTCGTGTAGCGGTTGTCAGCCATCAACTTGGCCAACATCGATTTCTGGCTCTGATTTGGTGTTATTCTGGTGGTTAGATGGTATTTACTGCTTAGTCATGGCTAATGGAATTAGTAATGGGAATTTTTAAGATAACAAGTAATAAAATAAGATATTTTAATATTTATAATATATAAAAAAGGGCTAAATATAAAATGGGGATTAACCATTCTTTACATCAAATGTCAGTTGTCTGTCGCTCGCTTCTTTTCCACATGTGAGGCATTACGACTTGTACTTTCAACATCTCAATGCTCGCAGCTCAAACTCCAAGACCCGTATCACCCCCCATGCGAGTTTAAGTACGAGTATATAGGAAAGTGTTCCCGAGACTCATAAATCAAAATGACATGACCAACTCTCGGCATTAATATTTCAACACCATAAATGCGGCGTCAATTCGCACATGGGAGAGATGGCTGAAGGAGACGACGTGACAGGGACATGCACAACGATGTCTGCAAAATTGTGTGCATAATAAATAAATATGAAAGGCCTTCATCATCATCGTTGTGATCGTGGCAAGGCATCGCAATCACACCCAACCACCCCAGTCGATTCCAAAGTGCAGCTCACTCCTGCCATCAAATCAAATCAAGACAAGCGTCCAAACATGCAACATGAGCAGGGAGACACCCAACCGAAAACTGAAGACCGAAAACCAGACCAACAGAGACACGCTCGACTAATTATGGAAATGTCATCAGACGTTGATAGGTCCCCCTGTGAGGTCGCCGAAATGGAAAAATACATACATTTAGTGCGCGCAATTTGCTTGCGATGCCTCGACACATGCGACAATTTCAAGCAGCACTTGCATGGCAATTTATTAAACTCGTGCGACTTCTTTCTTTCCTTTTTGTTTCGTCTTGAAGAAATTAAAATTTTCGAGCTGGATTTGGATTGTGGTATGGGGATTGGGGATTCGGGTAGAGGTGACGACAGACACTGGTTAAGACAGCCAGCGACGCCTCTGAAGTGACAAAAGTTCAGATCGTGGGTGGCAAAGTCAGTCAAAACGGTGGCGTTGCCTCCATGCACAATGATATATGGTTTTGTCGGCTGTCATTTGGTTTTGAAAATTATTGTTGTGGCCTGCACTTTGGGTTTGGGTGTCTTTTGTTTATACTCTCTGTGGGCAGTGGGCATAAACTACTGCACTACTGCGACTTAAGGTTTATGGATTTAAATTGTAAGTTGGTCAAATCGGAACATTCTATCTTAAAAATTGACTGGCAATAAATTACTTTTGAATAATACATTTTTATTAAAATTTTATTTGTGGTTATTGAACAGTTTTTACTGTACATTGTCATAAGACTTAAGAATTCGCGTTCATATAATAATAATGCTTTACTTTTGATGTGTGATTCTTCTTAAGTTGTTTAGCCCATTGTCATGAGACTTAAGAATTCGTGTTTTTTAAGACTTCTTTTTTAATTTTCTTAAAAAAGAAACTGTATTTCCCATTCGTTTGGACTCTCTTCCGCCCAAGTGTTTAGCATTCTGTTGTTTTTCTTTCATTTGCCTGACTGCCATGCTGCTGCTGCAATCGTAAATTTCAGTGAATTACGATTTTACCTGCTTTCGCACAGAGCCAGCATGTCTGCATTTTAAATATGCAGTCAACACTTATCACGAGCGAAGTATAGTCCAACAAGTCGGCGATTTTAATGGCCGCCAAGATGGTGGAACAGTGACTAAGTAGGATCACCCAACCCCGAGTACAGTGGACACTCATTCATATACAAACTTCATTTATCTTTCGGGGAGCTTTCTTTTCCAATTGGCTACCTTAACAATTTACATGCCACCAACAACCCAAAAAGGACAGTCATATTTTATTCGAGCTTCTCGTTCGTTTTCGGTTTTTATGGTTTTATTGTTGCCGCGCGCGTTGTAATATTTTTGTATCTTTTGGCGATTTTTCATCTCCATTATTTTGCAGGAAAAATAAATTTGCAAACGGTAGAAGAAATATTTTCACAAAATCCCCAACCAATAAATTTCATCCACCCACTCCCAAACCATTTTCCTTTTCTTTCTCCGCGAGCCTGGGTGACAAGTCCAGCCTAGTCGAATGGGTTTTGGGTGGGTGGTGGTGGGGGATGGTATGGGCACGGGTTCACCTGCCTCCAATGATAAATGGTCGCGGCTAGAGGGAACTATAATGGCCAGCGCGATGTCGGTGGCTTTCACCTGCGATGTGGTATGAAACAAAATAAAACAAGAATTGTAAAGGAGTATTGCGGAGGACGAGGGTCGGGTTGGCGAGATCTTCATCCTCGGCTTGTCAAAAGCACTGAACGTGAACATCACTTATATATAAGCTCCATGTTCCATACTCCACAGTCCATAGCCCATATACCCATTTCCAGGTGCCCCCTCTTCCTCATCCCTTTTTTTTCCCCAGAACGATTCTCGGCTATATGTGGCGAAATGGACATTTATGAAAGAATTATTGATGCCAACGCCAATATGTGTGTGTGTGGGAGGTAGAAAGGGAGCTTTATGGCATATTTTTTATGACTCCCATAGAGGGACAGAGATGGTGACCAGAGTCGGAGTCTGAACCATGGCCTGGCCAGGTCAGAGGGTGTTCCCCCATCCCCGTTCCACCGCCGTATAATACAATAAATTGTCAGGTAGGGCGGCTAGCTGTCAAAATGCAGGGGCATAACTCTCTTCGCCTCCCCCAACCAAACCCCCGTTTCCCAAACCATCTATGGCAAAAACGAAAATTTTAATTTATCGACGCCATATGTGGGCAGTGAGCAGAGGAACTATTGCCAGTCAACTGTGTGTGCCTGTGCCTGCTGCCTGCCCCTTAAGTTCCACCTACCATTTCTCAACTTCTTTTTGGGGAAATATAAAATTTGATTTACTGCCATTTCGTGTTTCTGTGTGTCTGTGTGTGTAGCACACCAGTAGCTATGTTCCAGTAGCTAGCCGGGTATAATTTAGCGGCAAACGTAACCGAAATGTTATGATTTGTGAGCCAATGGATACGTATACTATACATATATTTTTTCGCTTGGTCTGTTTGCCTTTGGCCATGACTTAAAGCTTTTCCGATACGGTTTTAAGTCTGTAGCCAACTGTTTGTGACAGTTTTCCCTAAAGAAAATAAAGGAAAAGCGCAGATTGAACTATAAATATATTTGGTTTTTATTAGAAAGAATTAAAATATTTTTACCTACCAATATATTTCCTTTTCCTCATTTAGTAAAATTATAAAATAGAAAACTGTTTTGGTATTTAATTTTCTTTGATTTATTGATTTCTTTGTAGTGACTTAATTGAACATTAAAATATTGTTCATAATTACACATTTATGTATAGGTATATTTATAGAATTAATTATAAGCAGTTACTCATATATGTATATATATATTTTACAAGAATTTTACAACTTTAAGTTTTTGGACAATCTTTTCATTTCATTTCGTTAATCATTAATCTTTAATCGTTTCGCTTGAATATAATAAATAATATTAAAATTACCATATGCGTTTAGTAGCAACCACGAAACACACAGACACACAAGGACGAGCGATATTTGATGTGCTGCACTAAATGTATATATATTTTATATTTCAGATATATTAGATATCTAGACGCTAGACTTCTTAAGCTAAATTGTAAACACATTTGTATGTAACTACAGTACATTAGATCACTAGCTTTTCGTTTCACGAGTGAGTCATATACACCAAAAAACACATAGAGATACGACGACGACTCAAGAGAAATGATGATGATGGGTTTGGGTTTGACTGAAGGCCGAACTTCTACTCGCAGCAGGATCAAGATCATCGGCCGCCTACTACGGATGCGAGGATCCCATCCGGGGGCCGTATAACGAGTAAGGGGCAAAGTATTGGGCCAGTGCCGGATGAGGTGGCAACCCTGGCATTCCGCTCATCCCCGGCGGCGCCAGTGAGGGCGGCAGCATCGAGGGCTTTCCGTACGGATGGTAGCGGGCCGCCGACAGCGGACTCAGCGGCGGGGTGGGATAGGTGCGCTGGAACAGCGGATGATTGGGCGGTATTCCGCCGGCGGCCGCTGCACTGAGTACCGCATCCGGAACGGAGGCCGTGTGGGTGCGCAGATGTTGGAACAGATCGTCGGAGGTGCCGAACCGCTTGCCACAGTACGCGGCATCACTGCCGATCCACGAGCAGACGTAGGGCATCTGGGAGGCGGCGGCCAGGGCGGCCAATTGGGCGTGGTACGAGGAGGCAGCTGCCGCCGCCGCCGCTGCCTGGGCACTCGATCCCGATCCTCCCTGGGAGTTACTGGATTTTGATGCACCACCTCCTCCTCCTCCACCACCACCGCCCTCGCACTGCGGACATCCCGCCGGACACGGCTGACCGGCCGCCTTGTTGATGTAATGCGGACTGGCCGGACATCCCGTGCAGTAGGGATCCCGACACACATTCGGCGTGGCCGCCATCATCGACTGCTCCGTCAGGCCCTTCATGCGGGCGTAGTTCAGATACGGATTCATCGCCGACGCCTTGAACATGGCGTGGTGCGGCGACATCAGCGAACTGGCGGTCATCAAGTCCATGGAATAGGGGCTACCGTAACCTGCAACGGAAAATGGAATCGTCAAATTAGTTGGCATTCTTAGATTTCATGATAAATCCATACAAATTAAGATCTAGACATTTTCTCGTATTTCTTTGTCAATAACTCAATTGCTAAATAACTGTTGGGAACTAACAGATTAAATATCTCGGAAATTCATTTATATCTTCACCAAATCGTTATTAGTGAAATTAATTCAATTATCCTTTATTTTAAAGGATATTTTTATGGTGTTACTTCCAATGTTAAGCTCTTGTTTTAGTTCTTGTATAAACGGTTTAAAGGTTTAAAATGTAATACGATTTTTAATTCTTTGGCATAAAATTATTAAGATTTTAAAGTATGAATTTTGTATTCATTTTTTTCTCAGTAAAAATATAAAATTTTAAAATGACGTTTATAAATGTTTAAGTTTCCACTTTGCCGTATAAGAACGGTTTTTGAAAACAAATATTTGTTGAAACAAATATTTTTATCACTCATACGCACCGATGGACGTTCATATCAACTAAATAATTCGGGTTTCCTCTCTGTTGATTCTAACAGTTATTCCAACGAAATAAATAATTAGAAAACAGGAGTTCCAACTAAATTAAAACTAACTCGCATGAGTGATTTTTAAGTCAACTATTTGTTAGTTTTCGAAGAAAACAAGGTTCTATTATGTGGACCACCCCATTGTACAATATTCCTAAGCCTCTTACTGATGGTACTGCAATTTACTCGTCTCGTAGTCCCACCCACTTAATCCTCCCACTCCCAATCTCTAGTTCCACTCACCGGGCGGATAATAGGATGCTGCAGCTGCTGCGGCCGAGGCGGATCCTTGCTGGCTGGCCGCGTGCAGGGCCTTCACATAGCTAGCCTCCTTGGCGGCGGCCAGAGCGGCCTCCTGCAGGCGATTTGAGCTGGCGATTTGGGCAGCAGCCTGCGCCGCCGCCGCTGCCGCTGCACTTGGACTGTGCATGGCGGCCGACTCTTTGGAATTGCTGCGACCACTGGACGTCGAGGAGGAGGAGGCGTTGGGCGGCAGGCCGGGACTTCCGTTGAGCTGGCCCCCCAGCCCCGAGGTGGGGGTCCTTCTCAGCGAGGAGGAACCAGCTGCTGCTGCTGTGGGCGATTCTCGATGCTGCGAGCTGGCACTTTGGTTCGAATCGCAACGCTGCTGGCCGCCATTCGACGTCGATTTGGGGGTCTTAACCCGCTGCTGCTGCTGGCCACTGGTGTTGGTGTTGCTGCTGCTGCTACTGAGATTTGTGGCACCGCAATCGACGGCCGACGTGGCCATATTGCTGATGTTGTTATTCGGCTCGTAGGGCTTAAAGGTGGTCGGTGTGGGCTTGTGGCTGAGACCATGGGCCAGGGGCAGTTGTTGCTGCTCCACGGAACCGGTGCTAACGCTGGATGAATGACTGCTAACCGGCGAGGATTTATCGCGTGCACTGCCATCCATTGATGTCTGCTGCTGGCCCAGGCCGAATCCCGAACCCGATCCTCCACCAGCATTCGATCCCTTGGGCTGCTGGTGCTGCAGTTGCTTTGTCGACTTCTCAATGTTCGCCGCCAGCAGCTTGGGGTTTGTGGTATCCGCTCCGATGGCGCTGCATGTTTGGGCCAATAGCGCCAACGGACTGCTTTTGTTGTCCAGCTGCTGGTTAAAAGAGAAAAAAAGAAAAAACGAGGTTTAAATTTGTGTTTCAGTACAACATCGTGCGTTTTGTGGCTCGCCAGATAAGATCTCGTCCTTATTGTCTTTGACTCTACTTTGTTCGGCAAACACTTCTTTACTGCCTCTTCCACTGCCCCAGATCCTTATCTTTCGCCACAAAACTGGTGCGATCTTGAAATACTCGTGCAACTCGCTACTTTCATGTCCCCTTTTCTTTAGGCGACATAAATAACAGGCCTATGGTCATAAATATTTATAATCCCACAACAAAATAAAGGGAATTATGAGGCCATTAAAATGTTTGCCAAAAAAAAGTCGAACGGAAAGATATAGCAATGTGGTTGGAAAAAATCTAACTACACCCTCGGGAGTGGTTGTTTATTTGGTTCGAGGGCAGAGCTATAAAAAAGGGCGTGAAATTGACATATTTTTTTCGGTTTGTATAAATATAAAAAGTATGTTCGAACAATCTGTGAAACTAAAGCCACTTTAGCTTAATACCATTCCGTAAATAAACAATTCTTTATTTAATCTAGCACCTCTTATCGCCTAATCCAATCCATCTTACTCGCTTTCTAAAATTATATGCAGAACTAATGTTAATAACATTTAATCAGCGTCCATCGGGTTTTATGGCCATTTCCAAATGAGCAATTAGGCTAATGAAATTATTAGCCATTCGTGATATATTGTGCAATAAACAAGTGCCAAAGTTATGTGAGTAGTGAACAGTGGTGGTGTCCAAATGGGTTAATTTTGGGGGCGTTAAGTAAATACCATGAAATACTGAATTATTCAACGAAAAGAGGATTAAGACAAACCAGGCATCAAGTGCACTGAAATCCGATTTGAACAATTGATTGTATTTGCCAAATAATTGCTATTTCTGAATTTGAAATAAACGAATTAAGTCGCTTTAACCTATTGTGATGCTTAGGAATAAAACCATTTAAAATTCAGGAAATATTTGTAAATTTTTTAGGAAAATGTTCTCTTAATATAAATAAAAATTACTTTCTAAATAGAAAATGTTATACTACGCCGTTGTTCATAATTTTGTATGACTTTATGCTTATTGCTTATCAATTGAGGGCTTCGTATTATGAGTATATGGGCACTTCTAGTCAGTCTATATATAGTAGGCCTATAAAAGCGATCGTATATATCAGCATTTAGAGCTATACGAGTGAAAATTACCGATTGAGTAGTACAAAGGAATATCGAACGAGTGCCGACAAAAGTTGAAATTGCAGTCGATCGTAGTTATAAGTGTACATAAACGAAATGAATATTGCCCACTCACAGTTTGTGCCATAAACACGAAACACGGTTTTTGCAATAAAATCCATTTCGCCGCATGCCATAAATTATGGCCAGCTGAAGAAGAAGAAGAGCAGAAGAATAAGCGGAAAGGGAAAACCCGAAACTGAGGCGAGAGAGTTGAACGTTCATAATTCATCGCCCAAATACAACATCCACACACACAGGCACATCGGAAATAATGACGTACACTTGGTGTATATGTATGGGAGCGTAATTACGCTTATGCCCAACTGGCGCAAGTCGTAAACTACAAAATATTGAAGCTTTTATAACACTCAATGGGCCGCCATAAATTATTATGATACTATTGTAAAAATGGCAAAATTTCTTATCGGTACTTAAGAGTACTTTGGATGCCCTGTAATCAGAGTGCTTGTGTGTGGACATGAAAGGAGCAACATTCCGTTTTTTAAAGGGATAATTTAATGGAGAGGATGTCAGAGTTTAATAGTAAAATCTGGGGTTTAATAAGAAAGTTTTGACTAAGGAAAACAGACGGTATAATAAGTATTAAAGAAATATGTTTACTTTATACTTATATTACATTGATATAGGGCCTTAGGGGAATTATTATAATAATTACAATAAGAACCAGGATAAATATTATCCGCTGAGCAAGCAACATTGTAGGTATTACGAAACAAATTGTATTATTTATTATTAATTACTTCATTATTATTTTAGTATTAAATGTTATATTTTTGGCCTTGTGTTGAATGTTAATATTCTAAAAGCTTAATACAAAATTTCTCTTTAAATAATAAATACAGAGTATTCCCACAGTCAACACGCAATCGGACCACTTTGCATATATTCGATTTGAATTTGTGTGGAATTGCCCAGAAACCCCCCCGAAAATCCCACTCCTCATCAACACTTTATTAATTATTGGCGCAAACAGAGGGGCGGGCAGACCTCACTCCATTTCGTCTCGTTTTTAGCACAATTAGTCATAATTTATTATCATGTTGATAAAGTTTCCGTATTGATTTTCGGTATTACGCATATTCGTGTCGCACATTTTGTGTTTTGTTTGTGATTTAGTTTATAAATATTTCCCAACCCCAGCGGTATAGACGGACGTACCTAAATATGTGTGTGCAGATAGAATGAGCCATATGGGGCTTGTTTAATTTACGATTGGACAATAGCTTCATAAAACGTAGATATATTTTATTTATATATGAGAACGTCAATTGACTTGTGCGGAGCGAAATGGAATTATTGCTCTGTCTCTGACCCGATCAAATAGTAATTGAGGCCAAGTTGGGTATAATTATTGAAATCAACTTCCACTGCAGTGTGTAACTTTGCCTACCAAAAATGTTTACTATACAGTCTTGCTTTTTTTATAAGCACGCTAAAATTCGTGAATATTTAACTTTGAATAATACGAATATATTTTTAACACTTAATTAGCTCTTAAAAGCCAATGGAAAATGAAAAAAATGGAAATAAACGTAATACGTATAAATTATGAGTGTTGTGATAATTAAAATGTTACACCTTGTGAAAAATGTGTATACAAAACATCGACACTAACAAGGTAAACAAACAACAACCCGAGTACGGCAATAAAAAACAAGTGACTACGACAACAACACAGTAGTCATGGCTGAGCAAGTTGGAAATGAAACCTCAACTGAAATGCATTTAGTTATGCCTTTGCACAATCAAGTCACAGTCGCTTGTTAAATGCGTATAATTTAATTAGACACTTTGAACTAAACACACTCAGCTGTCATGATTTGATTTGATTTATTATCGTTTGTGTGCATATATTTTTAATGCTAATTCTATTTTAAAGGTGTGTGAAGTTAGGTATAGAGAAAAGGAATGATCTGTGGACTTGGCTTACATATTTGTATTGTATCTATTATGTGTATGACGCCCACACCTTTAAAGGTTTCGAAAAAGTTTAAATACAATTTTGTTGTATTTATTAATACCTATAGAAATGTAATAGACATTTTTCAAATCGGACCATTCATTGAAAAGTTATGAGCAAATAATGCAATTCAAGCAGTCGTTTTGCTGCATGCATATCTTCATCTCCCTTGCACTTTCTAAGTAACGGGTATCTAATAGTCGAGGTACTCTACTAAATCGTCTCTCTTTTTTTCTTTTAATTGTAGGATTTTTTAATCCCCCTTAAAGGCCGTCAAATTGATCCCCTAAGATCTTGGCCCTAACAACCATTCATCATCACACCATACGAGTTATTTGCTTAACATTTCACACAAGTGTCACACACAAATGCCTCAAGTATTATACAAATTAACAAGAAAAGCTAAATGTGTCAAACTATTTTATAGTGCCATAAGCTACTTCCCCGCCAACCCCTTGAATACACTCAACATTTGAGAAGTATGACACATCGACATACTTAAGTCATCATCGCACGTAGACTTGAAACAATAAAAGAGTCTATGGTAAATAAAAATGAAGTAAATTATAAACAAATAAAAGCGGCACGCGAAGCTTTTGGGTTGAGTGAGGGGAAGAGGTCGAAGGCTCACGCACTTAGAGGGCCCTTGAAAAATCATACTTTATGTTAATATGACAAACAAAATGTTGAAACTTTGTGTGTTTCTTTTTATTTTTTCGTGAAACAATGACATGACAGCCAAATGGAGGGGATAAGTTTAATTTAAGATGGAGTGAGGGGGTCATACAACGCAAGTTGGTAAGAGACAAGATGAATTGTTGACTTTGGCTTGTTGCTTCTCAAATTGAAGCTATTGATCGATTCACTTTTGAAGCTTTGCCGAAAGGTATTGTGATTCGAGACAAAGTGCACTTGAATCGATTTATTTTTGGAGAATAAATAAAGTAAAGTAGCTTTAATTTTACGTGCTTGTATGGCGTATAAGCTTTTTGATTTATTTGCTAGTAAACTGCAATAAAACTTATCTATAATGGATTTTAAGATCTATCTGGCCGCCACTTCTCTTTCTTCTCCTATCACATTTTTCTGGCAATATATTTTGTAAAATGCAATTTTCAAAGATTCTGCGGCTCAGGAAATTTCTTTCCCTCGCACACATTACGATACAGAAATAGCTGCTATAAATATGAATTACAGGATAAGCATAAAAAGCGGAAATTGTGTGCCGCCGCTATCGTCGACGACGCTTTGCATAAGCCAACGGCAACGTCTTTAGCAGACCTTTCCTCCAAGCTAAACCCCAACCATATCCCAAAGCCCTCAGCCCAAACTCAACCCAACCCAACCCAACCACTGACTCAGTTTTTTAAGACGCCCTTGCAGTTTTGCTGGGGAATTATAAAATAAGCGATAAAAATGGTATAAAACTTTATGCAGACTTTGTATTTTCCTCTCTTTCTTATTTTGGCCCTCGTTCTCCCCCTCATCTCGCCCTATATAGTGTTTCCCCAAGACCCTGACACTGGGAGTGGGTACTCTGTCGTTATACATATTATGCATGTATATTATATCATTCCGCCTGTTAACACCTTTTTGTATACGCTTACTTATATACATTTTTTCTTCGTTTTGGGTGATAATAAATTTTGCTTGCCTGGGCAAAAGAAGAACAAATATAAATGTATAAGGAAAAATTTGCATAAATGGCTATAAAAATATTAAGAGCCTTGGGCTCAAGTTGAATTAAATGATTCATCTAGAGTTGGGATAC